ACACACACACACACACACACACACACACACACACACACACACACACACACACACACACACACACACACACACACAGTACACATGGCTTTAATGCCTCCCTGTGACATGTGTGACAGTCAGAAGCTGAGCTGTCACTTTCCCTCTGACATACACAATGCTCGGGGGGGGGAGATTGCTCACCGTGTTTCCAGCATGGCTTTAGCTCCCTCCCTTGGGACAGGTTTTTACTTATTTTTCCTGAAACATTCATATCATTTCCACAAAACCCCTCCGGCTTTAAGTAAGACAAACTGTTCGCTCACCTCGAAGAACTTCCCATCTCCTCAAATGCACACATGCTTCTAGGAATGACAAATACCAGCAAAGCATTTATTCCTAAACTGCGGGTTAGTTCAATATATATTGTGTGTTTTTAACTCCCCCTGGTCACCGTGAACTATAAAAGGAAGTGAACATTTCTTACTCCCTGGCAAAACGATAGGTAGCATTATATTTATATTTTATTCCTGCATGTCTGCTCCATTGTTTGAATGTCTTTTACCAATCAAAGCAAGATCAAGCGTTCCCAGCAGCCTTTTGTTCAGGTTGTGCTGGCTGTGCTATGCGGTAACATTTTAATTTTGTGATTGATTTGCCATCTGAATAAGAAGAACTAAAATCATCCGACGGTAGCTCAGTCTGTAGGGACTCCAGTTAAATAGACCAAGTGTTGACTGTTAACGTAGGGACACACCAAGCTGACCCCAAAGAACTCACACAGACGGACCCCCGACTGTTGTGTCGGCCAAGTAGCACGTACGAACTGCGCATGCGTGAGTGGCAATAACTCTCCTTACCAGCAGGCGACGGTAGTGTGTATTCGTCATTCAAAAGAGGCAACAACCGGAAGACAGACTGTGTGATACATCGAGAGAAGAAGAACAGACTGCGTGATATAAATAAAAAATAGCGTGTGCATTCCATTTTCACTCTACAGCGAGAAGCTCACGGGGCTTTCCCGAACCTGAGTCGAGAGCTGGAGTTAAATGAAATCTCAGATTTGCCTTCTTAATAGTTTGTTGGGGTCCCTCACTTCCGTTTTGCTTCTCATGCACTGATTCACTAGCTGAACAGCCAATCAGAGTGATTTATTTTGCCGACAGCCTATGGCCGACTGCCCACCGATTCATTTCGGCCGAAAAGGTGTCAGCACGGCTGAAAAGACACGACGGTGCGGGACACACCAATCTGAGTAGGGCGACGGGACGCTCATCGTCGGCCTGACATCCATCGACAGCCAAAATCGGCTTGGTGTGTCTGGGGCTTAAGGCCCCGACACACCAAACAAACACCAAAGAACACGTCCCGACGGAACACGACTGTTGTGTTGCCTCACTTCATCACAAATAAAACAGGTTAACATGGATAGGATACTAGATAAGTGTGCACACTCATTATATACACTACACATTTTTCTTGGATTTGTTAACACTATAGTCCCTAATATATTTGTAGAAAGGCAGGAAATGGAATTAAATTGAGAAAATGTTTCATTGCGGAGGACCCCCTGTTTTGTGTCCCCCCCACTTCTCAAACCAAAGTTACACCCTTGGACACACCATTCTGAGTAGGGCGACAGGACGCTCATCGACGGCCTGACATCTATCGACGGCCGAAATCGGCGAAGGTGAAAAGAGGTGCTGCAGCACAGGCAGTATGAGAACAATAAAGAGCTTTTTGAACATTAAAGCATGGAGAAATTTCCCAGTAGAGGCAAACAAATACTGATTTGAACCTAAACATTTGCATAATATTTCATTTAAAGAAAAAAATATTGATCAATTGAATAGGGTTGCTTGGATTGTGATACATAGGGGAAAGCACAAACTAGGAAGTTGTTGTCAAGTTAGTTACAAATTATTTTGTAGAGATTGTGGCTTTAATTATTTTTTTCACATTCGTCTGTACAGATGATCATAATTGGACATTCCTCAATGTAGAAACGGGAAGATAAATGGTCATATAGTCAGGCAATCATGAATTTGCAGAAAAATGTGGAGGAATTCCTGGACATAAATCTATATTTCAGCACACAAAAATGTAGTAATTAAATTCAAAACATGAGTTTCTTGAATGCATCTGTGTCTGTGTGTCTGACCACAGTCACAGTTGGTTTGAATGATCTGAGTCTCAGTAAATAATGGCAGCATTTTCATCTGCAATTAAAGTCAGCCAAACATCTGGAGTTACATCGGAGAGCTTCCTCTTGCTCCAGATCTGACTGACTAGCTTTCTTTTCTAGACATTTCCCATTATGTTATTGAAGAGGTGTATAAACGATGAATCAGTTGTAGTCTCAGAGTCATGTGGACTATTAGAAAAGTCTAATTTTAGAATAATTTATGACCTGGAAGTACTTGAGTGTCAGCCATGATAAGAGCTGTTTGAATTCTCTAGAAGATGATAGGAGAGGAGCTTCAATGCTTCCCTGGTTATCTCCTTTAGCTTAGGATACCCCAGACAATCCTTTACAAAAGGAAAGAAGATAATGCGGCCCATTCCTTGTGGCCGCAACATTTAAAGGGCCCATGTCATGCTTTTCTGGTTATTACTCGTCCCCTTCTGTGTTATGAAGGTTTTTCTGCATGTAAACGGTCTGCAGAGTCACAAACCCTCAAAGTACACCCTGTAGCGAGTAAAACTCTAACACAGAAAATACTTGTCTATGCTGCCCCAAAACGCCTCGTTGGACATTTCTCATTTTCCATTGTTTGCTTCCTGGGTTCTGTGACGTGTGAACACCCAAATCAACAACAAATGACCGGATGGCCCAAATGGACCAATCCGCGTAGCACCTCACACACCAGGATCCCTTGGCTAACTAACAGGGAGTCCCCATTGACTTGCATAGAGCTCCCTGAACGCTGGTAATAGACAAGTTGGGATGGCGGAGAAATGCTCTCCGCTGACCCATTCTCACAGCGTTATAAACCTTTTTCTTACTCAATATCAAGCCACACTTATTGTTTTTACTTCGGCTGTGAGTGTTTGTGTGTGCTCAGGATGAGTTTCGCTGTGTCTCTCTGTATCGTCGACCCGGAAAACCTGTCCGCTCTCCTCGCAGCAGCGGCGAGCAGCAACGAGCCTCGCAACGAGCCTCGCAACGTCCCGACCAATCAGAGCACACTGGGCTCACAGGGAGGGGGGGGGGGGGGGCAGGAGCTCCAACAACCAACAAGCCGTTTAGGACAGAGAGTGAATACACATACTATACAGAGATAAGATAAACCAATGTGATTTTGGAAAATTGCACAATTTAAATCTATTTTAGTATACCTCAACAATGGAAATATGATCAGTAGAAATGGCCATGACATAGGACCTTTAAAGTGACGTAGCATACAGACTTTCACAAAAATAATTGTGACAGATAAACGCAGATCATGTAAGTAACAGTGCTTATTATTTTATTCTTATTCCATATCTTGTCAAAGTGCTTATACATTATGACATTTCAATATGTTTAACCTTAAGGCAAGCTAAGAACAAAATACCATAAAATGATGGAATAATTATTCATGGTGAGTTTGGTGGTTATTGTTTTACTCAACATGTTTGAATACTGATATGCATAGATGTAGTGGATGATTGGCCTAAAAAATAATGCATATACTGCATAAAGTATTTATTCAAATAGTTTCATACAATCATGCTTATTAGGATTCAGGTTGTTAGTGTACAGGAGGGTGAGCAGCCATTTAGTTTCACTTTCCTTTATTTTATTTTTAATTTAAACAAATAACATGTTTTTAATGTTGTCCATCGTTATATATCCCGCAGTAAACTATATCATAACAACTCATGGGGAATCGTATCTAGATGTGCTTTAAGTAGTCCATCTAAGTTTTCCCTTGGACGACAAACATCAGTCACATCCTCCGTTGAATCAGAATAATTGTGAGAAGTGAAAGTCAGATTCTCTTAACACCAAAGTTGAATTTCCAAAGTCCTGATGAATCTCCTTCAACAAAAAGGACTTAGGACCCGATTTGTGGACAATTCGATCACAACCCATGTCTTGTTCAAGAGCACTTCAACAGGATTAATGTTTGCAATAGAAAAAGTTAGTCTTTATCCATCAAGAACTGTGTGTTGTGACATTCAGCTGCAGGGAGGAGTCTTCCTTACATCATGGATTAAATTATGAGGCTTTGAGTATCTCACTGAGAGTGAATGTGTGCTGTTGGATCCAGTGAAGCTCCTCAGACAGGCCAACTAGAGTCCCCTCCTGAGAGGATCCACACCATGAGCTCATCTCTGAGGAACGACTCACTGAAAGTGTCTGTCTGACCCTGTCTCCCCTCATCTCTTTAATAATTGATGAGCAGAATGTTCCCACCAGTCCCCCAACTGAGAGGAACAGCTGTTGTTTTCTGATCTCTGTTCAGACACAGTTGTTATTTTGAACAAGCTGCTTTTATAAAATCTTTACGCAAAAAAAAAAATGCTCATCTGAGACATGACCTAAAGCAACTAAAAAGAACAGTAGCTCCTAAAACAAATGGGATGAATCATCTAGGACAATATAGTTCAACACCAAACACGTAGGTAATTTAAATGTTCATACAAGGTAGTTGATTTTGGTAAAAAAAAAAAAAGACTTACAGACGTCTCTTTTCCAAATGAGTAAATGGGAATCAAATATTTTTGGGCCCAGAAAACGTTACACGACTGACACGGAATTTGGCCAATATGAACATTTCTTTCAATGCCCGGCTCGCTAATGTCCAATGAACTGTCAGCCCATAGGATAAGATAAGATATACTTCCAAATCCCAGATCCCAAATTGGTATTTTGTAAACATGCATGTCTTCTACGCCCTGTGGAGTAAAACCAGAAACATAAGAATCCTGTTGTGCAGTAAGTCAGCCACTTTTCGAGTCGGTCACCAGCTCACTTGACCTCCATCAGCTCAGGATTGACCAGCTTAGAAATCTGTGCAATGAGTAAATCAGGCGTGGAAGTCAAAGTTCTCTCACTGAAACATTTCTATTGTTCAGCTGTGTTGTTGTGAGTGGAGCCGCTCAGCTGGCCTCAGTCCAGCTGACAACACAAGACAAACGTTTTCCATAGGATATGGAGACCCAGCAGCTCTTCAGAGACAGGAAGAGGAAGCAGAGAGAATGCAGCTCTGACGTCATAACAACAAAGGTTGGGGAGGGCTGCTGGCGGGGTCCTCTGGGAAATACCACTGACCCTAAGCCAGGCATATGAGCACTGGGCTAGCACCTGCCAAATAATGTACTGCCATATGCAATGCAATGCAATAGTTAAAGGAGACGTCAACCTTTTTCTGAAATATGTTTGTTTGCATTATTTATGAGAGTGAGATATTAAGAATGGATGTGAATCGGACATGTAAGTGCTGGGCTCAGGAAATGGTCTTGGCTTAAAGAGCAGAAACAGGAAGAAACAGCGAGCCTGGATCCGTCCAGTCTAAATACACCAACAAATGTAACTTTCTCTAATTAACATGTCGTAACGTGTTTGTTTACTTATTTAGTTGAAGTGTTTTTTGTAAGATCGACCCCAAGTCTAGTTTTCAAATTACGGCTTGAGGTTTACCATCATGTCTTTACAGAGACCAACCACCCTTTGACAATATACCTATAAATAAGAGTTCTAAGAGAAATGCTTGTGTTTTTATGTTATAGGAGGATGAGAAAATGCAAAATGGGTGGTCTGAAAAGCACCAGTTTGCATTTACAGTAACATTATAACCATTATGTATGGGATAATGTGCAGCAACGTGGTCATTATTGGACAAAGAACACCCGACAGGGTGATCATGGAGACAGGAAGTAAACACCTGCCAGTACTACTGCCATATTAACCTCTGAAAGGTCCGAATTGACTAATCAGAATCGAGTATTCAACTAAGCCATGTAATAAGTGGTCAATATACCACACTTCCATTACTTCCCTAGACCTTTCCTTTCTTCCTCCTTCCCTTCTTTCTTCTTACTTTTCTTTTTACTTTGCTCCCAATGTTTCTTGCCTCCTTTCCTTTCTTCCTTCTAAATGAAATGCTCAACTTAATGATTCCTTCAAAAGATTTAAAGTGGGATTGCCTGTCTGCCTCACTAATGTTCTATAATGTCTCGCTTTATGGTTTTCACATATTTACTTGTGAGCTGTGATATCTACTTGTATGGCTCTTCTTGTGGCCCTGCATTATACTAGTTGTAAGTAGCTCGTACCAGTGATAGTGAGGTATGTTTTGCATAAAAGGGATCTAGATATATGAAGAATTCATCATACGGTTAGCTTTTCTGTCAGTAAATAAATACTAAATGTGACTCAGTGCACTATTGATGTAAACATTTCTGTTCTGTACCGCCAAAGACCTCAACATGTCGTCTGATCCTGTCTTGATCAGAGAACTCCGTCCAGCTGCTGTCCTGACAACAAGCGCTTCCTACACCTGTGAAAAATGTGTGTAGCACTCAGAGCCTTTGAAGCCAACATATTGTAGTGGTTACCCAGGCATGGTATGACGCTCTTTTTTTCATCCCACATCTTCTTGCCCCTCTCAATGTTTTTCATAAATACTATCAAGGTTCTTATCTCCCATGTAAACCAAAGTTCCTGGAGTTAATTACTCTGCAAAGTGTGGAACCATTAGGGTGAATATATGCAAAGAAAAAACATTCTCAGAGTATCAAGCTGTGGATTTAAGATGTTGGTCCGTTATTGATGTACAAATCATAATGGTACAGCATAAAACAACCCTCCAACCCCAAAACACCTTGATCCAATTCATGATGGACTTATATTATTTGATTAAGATAATAAGGAGCCTTGAAACACTCTAGACAGGAAAAAGTGTTTACTCTTAACTGAATAAAAACAATTTCCCCGAATCTTGAAGTCATTTTTCTGATGTATTTATTTCAAATGCTATATTGTCATTTTACAACACGGTCGCAAAATAAATGTGGGAAGTTTTGACTTTATTATACATTAAAAATGTAGATAAGGAGAATGAGTTGCAAAGTCTTATAGCCTATAAGGAAAGAAGCTGCTCCTCAGTGTGGTGAAGCCTTTGAGCAAAACTATAAAGCCCGACTTGAGGAGTGTTCAAACCCTCAAATTAATACGAGTGTTGAGCACAGAACAGATCATGGCCCATAAAATCAGTTCTAAGAAGAAGATGAGTGTTGATCAGTATTCCTTCTCATCCTTTCCATGTTACACACTCAATCTACCAAGAGTCCTTCTGCAGGAATCCAGCATTATGAAATGATTTATATGTATGCTCTTAGCATCTAATGACAGTAATGTCCCCGCACTCACAGAGATAAAATACTCCCACACTCTCGGTTGTCAAAGCAAAAAAACACACAGCAACATCAGACATCATCCCCCACTACAGCCTGACCTTTCTCTCTGGACACCCTGAAGGTCACCCTGTAACACACCCTCCTTTGATAAAGCAGCAGTTTTGCAGGAGTTCACTACTGAGGAGGGTAAAGGGTAGGTTCCAGAAAGCTTAAAATTGAACAAGAATATGATTGTGTGCAGGCTCTTATCTGCCGCCTCAGCACTAATCATCCTGACAGCACGCATCAGTGGAAGAGGAGCAGCCATTGTAAATCCGCAGCCATAAAGCAGCATGTGCGGTCATGAATGATGCATGAGGGACCAAGGTTACATTTCACATCCTGGTGCTGCTCTGATGTCATCAGCCAATAAAGGACAGAGGGGACATTAGTACATGGATGTTAATGTGCATGGTGGTGGAGTTGATGCCATACTGTTTTTCTGTTGTTCAGGAAAACTGTTCCTATGGAGATTTTACAGCAAAGCCAAGTGTAATTCACCACAAGGCTCACTGATATGCTGACTGGAACCATCCCATTT